CAACTTTGCTGGCTGGGGAATTTTGGAAGTTGAAGTCCAAATGTCTTCAAGTTGCCAAGGTTGAGAAACACTAGCCTAATTGAATACTCTGCTCTTTGGATGCTTGGGTAAAGAATGAAAGGATGTGATTGCTTTCCTGACTGCCACCCACCTATCTTTAAAAAAAATAATGTCCTCTTAACTCATTCAAAGACAGCTTACTATAATCAGTTCAGACAAAATACAGTCAGAAAATATGGTTCTAATTTTTGTCCTAAACATCACAAGATAGGCCTAAAATATCTACAATGCAGGAAAGCATAGTTGAGAACTACTATCAGACTTCCCCACCCATGATACATGATCATTCAGGATGAGACAAATGTGTGGTACTTAATCTTTTAAAAAGATGTTGCTCACTGGACAAAGAGGAAAATGTACAATATGTTTGTGAAGAAACTGCATTTTAATGAAGTGTCAATGAAGTCAAATGTGAGTTTTGCTCTGGCCTCACCTACTCCTCCCCAGTCCTGCTGTGCTGCCCATTGTGGTAGGGTGATGGTGGTAGTGGTGTTCCTGGGAGGGATAAGCAAAGAATGTGGTAAGTGTATGTTAGGAGCATACATTCCCAGCAAGGTCATCCAAGGTGTGAAAGCCATCCCATCTGCCCAGCAAGCGGTTATCTATATTGGGCAGCAACAACATAAGAAGATGCTGGAGGTGGGCAATAACATTAGGGACCATGGCAAAGTCATCCATTCATACTGTCCAGGAGAAAACAATGGTATACCATCTATGTATTTTTACCAAAGGAAGCATAGACACAGACAAGGCAAAGAAGACCTGGAAGACTGGATTAGGAACAGATCATTATGAAAAAAAAATTCTCTATGTGGTTGTGAAGAACTGGCAACTTGATAGCATCCATCCATCCATCCATCCATCCATCCATCTGTCCATCTGTCCATCCATCCATCCATCCATCCATCCATCCATCCATCCATCCATCTTACCTATTACTCATTGGCTTCAATCTCCCCAAATTTGCATAGCCTGATACAGTCCAGTAAAACTGGAAGGCATTAGTTTGGAGAAGGCTAGTGGTGAAAAATACAATATTCAGAATTGGGTGGCTCAAAATTCTTAGGAGGAGACAGTTTTCTCTTGGGTGAAGAATCACAAAACATCAGGGGCAGTTGAAGTCCTGATTGGCTATTTTTATCTAGCATGGTGTTTTTTTTTACCCGTAATGCAGATCTATGTGATGAAGTCAGCAGAAGCTCACAAAAGTGTATTCCTTTTAATAAACTTCATTAAGTTGATAAAGGTGTAATCAGACTCTCATTCTTTTTTTTTTGCCCCCATAAACTATGAGTGTCCTTTTATGAATCCTACCTAAAGTTCATATAGGAGGTTTCTGAGATCTCCTAACATGGATATCTCTGTAGATTTCCAACGTAAAACCAACTTCTTCGACTTAATAACCATTCATTTAGCAACCTTTCAAAATTTGGTTTGTTTTATTTTCTATCTATCTATCTATCTATCTATCTATCTATCTATCTATCTATCTATCTATCTATCTATCTATCTATCTAATCTGCTTGCCTGCCTGCCTGCCTGCCCTATCTACCTCTACCTCTACCTCTACCTCTACCTCTACCTCTACCTCTACCTTTACCTACCTACCTACCTACCTACCTACCTACCTACCTACCTATCTATCTATCTATCTATCTATCTATCTATCTATCTACCTATCACCTTTCCATCTACCTACTTACCTACCTACCTACCTATTCTCTCTCTCTCTCTCCACACACACACACACACACACACACGCACGTTAAAATCAAATTAATTTAAAATGTAAAAGTTTTAAAATTATAAAAATAACACTATAAAATGTCAAAAGGTGAAAAATTCCAAGATGGAGGGTGGGTTTAGCAGTTGTTAATACAGACGGGGGAGCCAGCCAGCCTCATGGTTGTGTGGGCCTCGGTATCCCCCACACAAGGCCGCACAGCCATGTTTCGACTGGTTATCTCCAGTTTGCAGCATTTTCCTACTCCTTTCATCTCTTCCTAATTCCTTCTCTCTTTCCCGCCTCTCTCAGATCTTCATTGCTGAAAAATATTGACAAAATGTTGTCTTGATGTAATCAAGCTATTGGTTGGCCAACTCCAAGAAGGATGCTGCATTTTTGCGGACGTGCGCGTATCCCTATAACATATCAAGATCCCCCCGTTTACTGCACATTGGCACAAGTATCTTGAAGACCCAGTCCCAGACAATGTTAAGTCTTCTAGTTTAATGAGGTCCTGGTCTTTAAAAGACCTGGAATCTGGAAGAAGGTGGCCCATGCAACACCACTGCTCTGTGGGTTGCACTGACTGCTGGTTGTGGGTGAAATTCAAGGTGTTGGTAATCACCTTTAAAGACCTTCATGGCATGGGTTCCGGTTTCTTAAGAGATCATCTCTTGGGATTGGTCTGCCCCATCTGTGCTGGCCAAGGAGGCATGCTGTGGGCCCCATTGGCCAGGGTATTCTGGCTGGTGGGGTCCAAGAGAAGGGCCTTTTCTGCCATTGTGTCTACTCTCTGGAACATCTTACCCCCCGTTGTGACACTGGCATTTTCACCAGAGCAAATTATCTGCCTGTCTTCTCCAGCCTTCCTGATAAGAGCCTAAATTATCTGCCAGTTGGTTTGGGGCCCCACAGGAGTTTCATATTTGAAATGGCTGATAGGTTCATATCAAATCCCACCTCCTCCGTGCTCCTCCTGCTCCCTCCCTCCCTCCCATCTTTAACTACCGTGTTTTGTCTTTTTATATATTTGATTAAAATAAATGAATAAAAAAAATAAAAAGATTGTTCTTTTTAACCCTTCTAGGCTTAGTCCCAAGTTTGCTTCTGCCTCACTTCCTCTTTCTTGCCTTTTCACCTCCTTTTCTTTGCCACCCACTGTTTCCTCTTGGCCCTGTTCTCCTGGCCATTAGTGAGTTCATCCCACTCTCTGAGTTACACCCATCGATGGGCAGCCTGCTTCCTCCAGTTCATCCCAGCAGGCAGCTTCTCCCATCTCTAAGTCAGAGCTGGGTGACACATGCCCGCCTACTGTATCCAGCCCCATCTTGAATGACATTTCCTCTACTGTCTGCACTTTCTTCTTCGTACTTCATGGTGTACATGGTGTACTCTTCTATGTTCCCCTGCCAAGGGCCATTTCTTACACAGCAACCACTTTGCTTTAAAATTATGTCTTGGGTTTTTCTGTGTTTCAGGACCTATACCTAGTCTCCAACCTTGTCTTGCTTGGGATTTAATGACTTTTTTACATATTACCTTTATGTATTATTGGTATCAATGTCATGGTTATTATTACTTTGGTATTAAGATTATTATTACTCTGTTGTTTTGCATATACACTGAGAGCTTATGCACGGGAGACAAATTCCTTGTGTGTCTAATCAAACTTGACCAAATAAAGTTATTCTATTCTATTCTATTCTATTCTATTCTATTCTATTCTATTCTATTCTATTCTATTCTATTCTATTCTATTCTATTCTATTCTGTTCTGTTCTGTTCTGTTCTATTCTATCCTACCCTATCCTGACAGTTAGAACAATTAACCAGTGGAACAACCTGCCTCCAGAAGTGGTGAATGCTCCAACACTGGAAGTTTTTAACAAGAGACTGGACAGCCATTTGTCTGAAATGGTATAGGGTTTCCTGCCTGAGCAGGGGGTTGGACTAGATGACCTCCAAGGTCCCTTCCAACTTTACTATTATTATTCTTTTTTTTCTATTCCTTTTTTTCTATTCTATTCTATTCTACTCTACTCTACTCTACTCTACTCTACTCTACTCTACTCTACTCTACTCTACTCTACTCTACTCTATTCTATTCTATTCTTTTTTTGTGTGTGGAATGTTAGTGAATATTTTGGGGGCAAAAATATTGAAAAATGTTTGAGTTTCTCGGATCCCTTTCTTGCCAAGAGATTTTTCTCTTCATTATTGTTGTCTGTTACTGGCAATTCCAACTTTGCCCAACTGGCACTCTGCCCATCATCAATTTGCTAGTCAAATCTTGGTTTCTGAAGAAGTCATGGAGAGAAAAACAATGAAATCCATTCCAGGTAAGAGAATGCTTATTCAATAAATTTGCCCTCACACCCACTGCCACTTGACTCAATTGTATCACAATTATTTTATTGAGCATCCAATATGGGCTGCTCCTAGGCTGTTCATGGATGACAGCAACGTAAGATTTTTTTAATAGATTGCTTCACATATTTTATTAAGCTGCTAAAAAGAAATGTAGTTCATAAACTGAGCTAAGCAACCGGGTCATGGTTTATTCAAGCACAGTTAGCTGAATAAACTGCAATTTTATAGATACATACATATATCCATAAAATTGCAGTTTATTCAGCTAACACTGAGTCATGGGTGTCCAACCTGTTGGCTTGCCTGGGCTGCATTGAGTGATATGGCAATAGCACTTAGACTTATATACTGCTTCACAGTGCTTTACTGCCCTCTTTAAGCGGTTTACAGAGTCAGCATATTTCCTCCAACAATCGAGGTCCTCATTTTAATGACCTTGGGAGGATGGAAGGCTGAGTCAACCTTGAGCTGGTGAGAATCGAACTGCTGAAATGCTAGCAGCTGGCAGTCAGCAGAAGTAGCCTGCAGTACTGCATTCTAACCACTAACCGTTAGATCCTCCTATGCTATATATCATATCTGGCAGTAAGGGATCTCCAATGTTTTCGGTTTTGGAAGGCATCAGCAAGTATTAACCAGAGACTCCACATCTTCTAACAAAGATGCCTTCATCAAAGCCTAAAGATTCGCTATTTTGAACATGTCACTAATGAAGAAATGCTCCAAAAGAGTCACACACAGAAGATTCCAGGTCTGTACAGGACTTGCAGGGCATATACTCTGTATGGGTCACATATAAAATATATAATATAATGAATGTATATAAATAACAAAGTTTCTTTTTTAAACCTTTAATTATATCTTGTGAGGCCACATGTGGCCTGCGGGCTGCAGGTTTGCAACTGCCTGTCTTAAGACATAAAGCACAATTTGCAAGACGCAGTGGCCCGGGCTCACATCAGGTGCTAAGAATGTTGTGCATGGTTAAAAAAAAAGTGTGTGAACTCAGATTAGGAGGTGGCGTGATTGGTGAACTTAACTACAGCTCTCTTCTACTGTACATCTCAGTCTAACTCCAACTGGCTAATTTTTCCAGGGTCTCCTGAAGTTATAGGTTGAATAGGCATTTGAGATACAAACACTGAAGTTTTGTCCAGCCACATACAGGTACTCCTTGACTTACAACCGGTTTAGTGACTCTTCAGAGTTACAACAGCACTGAAAAAAAGTGACTTATGAATGATTTTTCACGTTTATGTCCATTGCAGCCTCCCATTGGTCACGTGATCAAAATTTGGGCACTGGGCCTCCGGCATGTATTTATGACACTGTCCTGGGGTCACGTGATCCCCTTCTGCGTCCTTCTGACAAGCAAAGTCAATGGGAAAGCAAGATTCATTTAACAACTGTGTTGCTA